GGGTTCTTCTGTTGGTAGCTCCGTGATGTCACCCGCCCCTCCTAACCCGCGGTTGGTTGTTTTGTGTTTCAGCTCTGCCTGCAGTTGAGCACAAAGACCTGAAGGAGACTCCCACAGCCTTCAGGGAGAAGAAAGGAGGCAGCCAAGCCGATTAAAAGGAACTTGTGGCTTGTGGCCTTTTGTGCAGGGGCCGCCTGGAAGGGGAGAAAAGTGTGCTGAAGCCACAGCGGCGGTTAATGAGCTGTGAGATGAGGAGCAGCTGCAGCTGACACTGCTTCCAGGATCCTTCGTCTGCCCTTTGTGCTTCGTGTACATGTGTCTGTTCAGGCCCGCCAGAGGCGCCCAGAAGAGCATCCACCACGGCTGCCGGGGAAAGACCGCCCACCATGCCCACGGAGACGCTACAGACAGGTAGCATGGTGAAGCCGGTCAGTCCCGCGGGCACCTTCACATCGGCGGTACCCCTCCGCATCCTGAACAAAGGACCCGACTACTTCCGCAGGCAGGCTGAGCCCAACCCCAAGAGACTCAGTGCGGTAGAGAGGCTGGAGGCTGACAAGGCCAAGTATGTCAAGAGCCAGGAGGTGATCAATGCCAAGCAGGAGCCGGTGAAGCCGGCAGTGCTGGCCAAGCCTCCAGTGTGCCCAGGAGCCAAGCGCACACTGGGCAGCCCCACTCTTAAGGTGTTTGGCAACCATGCCAAGACCGAGAGCGGTGTGCAACGTGAGACCCTCAAACTTGAAATCCTCAAGAATATCATCAACAGCTCCGAGGGCTCCAGCTCTGGCTCTGGCCACAAGCACAGCTCCCGAAACTGGCCTCCTCACAGGGACACCACTGACCTGCACCGACACTCCTTTGCAGAGTCTCTGAAGGTGTACCCTACGCCTGGGCGAGGCAGCCCGCAAGAGAGTAGCTCCCATGTGAGCAGGAGACTGCTGGAGCAGTCTGCAGAGTCCTTCCTGCACGTCTCACACAGCTCCTCCGACATCCGCAAAGTGACCAGTGTGAAGCCCCTTAAAGCCATCCCCTGCAGCAGTTCTGCCCCTCCCCTGCCTCCTAAGCCCAAGGTGGCTGCCATGAAGTCCCCTGAGGCTGACCAGGTGGAACCAGCCTGTGGGGTCAGCCGGAGACCTTCCCTTCAGAGGTCCAAGTCAGACTTGAGTGACAGGTATTTTCGAGTAGATGCAGATGTGGAGAGGTTCTTCAACTACTGTGGACTCGACCCGGAAGAGCTAGAAAACCTGGGCATGGAGAACTTTGCAAGGGCTAATTCTGACATCATATCCCTCAACTTCCGCAGCGCAAGCATGATCAGCTCAGACTGTGAACAGTCTCAGGACAGTAACAGTGACCTTAGAAATGATGACAGTGCCAATGACCGGGTACCATATGGCATTTCTGCCATCGAAAGAAATGCTAGAATCATCAAGTGGCTATATAGCATCAAACAAGCTAGGGAGTCACAGAAGGTGTCCCATGTGTAAGAGGCACAGTGGTAGAAAGGAGGGAGGGGGGGTCTGTCTGTGCATACACAGTTGTGAAGGTTGTGAGGTCTCCTTGAAGTGTTGTGAGCTTCTCCACTCTTTGTGTTGCTTGTTGTGCAATGTTCTCAAGTTGCATGCCTGTCAACATGGCAACTGGCCTGGCTTCCTTCTCACATCTCTGCAGAGTCTTGCTGAACACTCATCTGCCAAAAGTTTCCAGCCAGAATCTGACTGACTAGGGCCTTGCTCTTAATCAAAACTGTTTACAAGGGGGAAAAAGTTTTCAATTTCTTTAATATTTATGTGGTTCTTGTGTTTTTATACCCTGCGCTATTGTGTCTTAATTAAAAATTCTTTCAACTGGCTTTTAATTTGAACACAGAATCTTTTTGAAATAAAAAGCCACTTTGCCTACATGGGAGATCATAACACTGGGGAGATGTATGGGACCTGCTACCAGAAAATGACTTGACAGAACAGATCCAAGCTAGAGTTGTTTATATGGAATCAAGTGGTGGGCCTTGCCCACTTGGTGCCATTCTCTTGCCACTTTGTGGAGCATTAAGGGGCAACAGTGCTGCCTTGTGTCCAATTCAGTGTATATATTGATGGTATTTTTGCAGTACTGACCCCAGGAAAGACAATCAGATAAAACCCACGATGAGCAAATGGAGGAGGTTCAATATTGGGAGGAAGGTGGGGAGACTGTTGATGCTGTTCAAACTGGGATAATTCAGAAATATCTAGTATTAATCTGACAGGAGGAACCACCTGAAGATGATTAAAGCTGATACTAGATGCTGTTTAACAAAGTTATTTCGTGGGATCTTATTTGTTTTTGTTGTGCTTTTGGCCAAGAACTACTAACACATGTTGTTTCTCTCCCTTGCTCCCTTTGTAGTTGTCCTATTTGGGGCGGGTTGGTTGTACCTCTGCAGGTTTGCACTGAGGACATGAAGGGAAGTAAGATTACCATCTGTCAGTACAGTCTCCCATTCCACAGTGGTCTATGTGAAGCAGAGTCACAAGTCAGCAGTGATTCTGTCATCTGGCTCATATTCTTCTCTCAGGCTATGGGTATTTGTTACAGCTGTAGAAAACTGTAGAAACACTGTAGCTTTCCACCTTGTTGTCTCTTGTTGCCTCTTCCCCAATAACTTGCCCTCCAGGTGATTTTAGGAACTGGGAGCCAGCTGCCAAAGCACTGGCAGTGAAAGCAAAGGGCACCAGGCAGTGGTCTGGCCCAAGGCTCTTGGCAGAACCACCTTAGTTTGGTCTTCATCAGCTACTAGGAGCCTTTAAGTGGTGTGAATGCTGTAAGACTTTGTACATACTTCAGTTGTTCTGGAATCTAAGAAGAAAAGATATGCTAATAAATAGCTCTGATGTAGGCTCTACCTGTGGTGATTTCTCTTTGTCCTTTACTTTTTTTCTTCATACATACCTAACTTGGGCTGTGGGCCAGAAGCTCATTTTTTATCGTCTTCAAGAAACATTATTTCATTAAATTGCTCTCACCCTATCGCAATGATTCTGAACAGCACTTGTCTTAATTGATGTTGCTTTAGTGTGCATTTGCTAAAATAATTACTGTGTGTTCCCTAAAATATGCTGCCTCTTCACTTGTTTTATTCACACTTTTTATTTTTGCCTTTCCTTAAACATCAGGACTTTTCACATTTTCCAGAATATTCTTCTGGTGAAATATTTGAGTTCTTATTGCAGAAGCATGTCTTCTAAATGATAAGCCCTGTTTTCATTTGTTCAGGCTGAAGATCGATACCACTCTGTGTGGCCAAGAATTTGCCCACTTACTCATCTTTCAAGGTGGCCAACCGAGAACCACCATGGTCATCAGCCTCTGCCTCAGAGGACTTAGACTACTCCTCAGGGGCTGTGTCCTTTCTCCTCTTACTTGAATGCTGAGTATTCAGAGAGTATTTATTGAATCAAGCTATTTGAAGAAAATTTAAGGTTAAGGTTATATTTAATAATTTAAGAAAGCATTATAAAAATGATTGTCAAACTAATTTTTGATAAATATGATTCTCCTGAAAGGCAAATTTGGTTCTTTGAATCTTCCTACTGCTCTTGAACTCTTCCTACTGCTCTCACTGATATTCCCTGAAACTAGAACCCTGCTTTTCCATAAGAAACATTTGGGAATGTAGCTGTGAATGATGATGATACATATTCAAATTAATAGAATAAGAAATTGTCTAAACTAACAACAAAAGTGTGTTTCCTTACAACTTCTCTGGAAATGTGGCTTTTTAAGACATAGGTGACTTGGCATTTACAGATCCATTTTGAGAGCTAATAAAAAACTGAAAATAAATGTATTTTCCTAAGGAAGCCACCCTTGGGGATTTGGGCATTTCCTGGCCAAGTGCATCTCACTTCTTATGCTAGTGTAGTTGCAGATTGTGCTTGCAACCTCCAGTATCTACTTATCCCTAAAAAATCAGCTCCTGACCTCATTTTATAAAGGACAATGTGAGGCTTTTTGCTCCTATGGAAGAGCCTCCTTTTCTGTAATGCAAGTGTCTATAAAAGACTCTTTCAGAAGTTTAATGTGAAATCCCAGGAAACATTTCTACAAAATGTGCCTTCTTCCAGCTCCTGGAGGTTTTATGTAGGCATGCACTCACAATATAAGGTAATTGATTGCACCACCAAATCTTATAAACAGTCCTAAAATATCCATCGTCGTGCAGTTGCCTTAGTTCAGGCTTTCCCCATCTCACCTGAAGTAGTATTTCTAAAACTTTATAAAGGGGATCCTCCCCTCAGCCAGCCACACCCATTCCATTGTCACACCTCTATAAAACAAACACCCTCTTGATAGATAGTTAATGGAGTGGATTGTTGAGAGGATAAATCCTAACTTCTTCACACAGGGAGAATGTTTGATATCTACTTAGATATCAGACATGTCCAGGCCTCCCTGGTCCTACAAAAGACAAGTTAGTTGTCATTAATCACATTTGTTTCTGCACTTACAACACATGGAAAAGAAATTGTCCCAGAACTCAGTAACTTA